TAAAGCTAAATTAATTTAAGTACCTAATAATAAGTACCACTATAACACTACAAGCTTAAAATATTAAAATATTCTATTTTGTAAAAATATGTTTATTAGGGTGGTCTTTCACTATAGATGAAAAAAAAAAAAATCAAAAATGTTTTCATCTCACCCCCTTAAACAGTGTACATACATACAAAAATTAACTATATGAAATATTGAATCAATCGAACAAAGTTAACCCGTGCCTATTTGAACTTAAAGTTTGAACTTTTACAATTTTTCAAAATTTTTCAAATTTTTGTACTTATATCATAAACCGTTGATCAAATTGAAATTTATTATAGATACTAAATTAATTAAAACTACATTTACGAAAATATTTGTTCTATCATTTTTTTAATATCTTCAATTTTTGGTGAAATATATTGTACTTTAGTATAAAAACTGTGTTTTTTTACTTTTCCATGAATATATTTAAAACTAAAAATGTTAACATATTACCTATATCTAAAATAAAATGTTGTACGAATATACAAAAATTGTATAATTAGACTTAAACTGATACAATTTTTTTTATTAGTTAATAATATTTAATAACATAATATTATTGTAGTGTCGATTTGTTACTGTCAGGATACATAATTTTATAATTTTTTACAATTTGTAGTAGGTACTGTTTTTGTTCTTCATCTTTAGTTAAAATGCTGTTATATTCTTCAATTAGCTTCACTCCTCTTTCTGCCGTATCATTAACAACATTAATATGGGCTACAGTATTTGCAGTAAAAATTTGTTTTACAAGAATATATTTATATTATAAATATATTTTTGTATATTGTGTTGTACGAATATTCATTATGTACTATACCTAATTTTTCTGCTTCTATTTTTGAACGTTTAGATGCTTCATTTAATGATTTTAATCGATCAGCCTTTCGCTTTTCAGCTTTAACCAATTTAGTATCAATGCCCATCATATAGCCTTTTCGGCCTTTTTCTCTTTGGAGAAGTAAAAAATCTCGATCTTCTTGGATACCTATAATAAGTAATGTTTTTTTAAAAAATTTTAAACAAAATATGAATGTCATAGTAAAAATTATTACCTAACATATTTAATGCGTTCGCATGAGCAATGTCAAATAAATCGTCCGATTTTGAGGTGAACACGACTTCTTTTTTAATTTGACATTCGGTTCTTTTTGTAGAATTTTTTTGAACTGTTCTCCATTCATGATATAATTTTTCTAGTTTAGATATACAATGCTGAATGTCTTGTACAGGAATTCTTGCTTTTTCCCAAAATATTACTATTTCACGTACAGCGAGACGAGCACTTTCACGTATATTTAATTTAAAAACTCGTAAGTTGTAGAAAAAACTAATAAAGCCTGCTTAATGGACGGCAATTTACCACCAGTAATTTGACTGCATTCATTACCCAATAAATAAACATTATTTCTTATTTTAGAACACATAATATTATAAAATCACGACAATATTTTCAGAGAAAAACAATTGAATACAAACACTATTAAAAACGAGAGACGTCTGACGGCTGTTCCTAAACTAATCTCTAGACTAGATAATTTAGGTTGTTTAATTTACGTCAACTATCAGCATTACGATAATCAAATAATATCAGTGAATTATATGGGTATTCACTATTCAATATAGTGATTACTCTGATTTATAAAAATAACTTTTGGAGTTATCGATATGTAAACAATACAAATTGTAACAATTTACGTTATAATATTGAAAAATATCTAAAAGACCGATTTTTAAACACTAACATTAATATATCTCACCAACAGTTGAAGATATAAAAAAAAATATAGAACAAATATTTTCGTAAATGTAGTTTTAATTAATTTAGTATCTATAATAAATTTCAATTTGATCAACGGTTAATGATATAAGTACAAAAATTTGAAAAATTTTGAAAAATTGTAAAAGTTCAAACTTTAAGTTCGAATAGGCACGGGTTAACTTTGTTTAATTGATTCAATATTTCGTGTAGTTAATTGTTGTATGTATATACACTGTTTTAGGGGGTGAGATGAAAACATTTTTGAACTTAAAATTTAAGGACCACCCTAAATTGTTTATATTAAATAGGTTTATATTAAATATTTTATGT